ACCTAGGAAATGAAAAAATAACTTTGTTCATATATAAGAGAAATTCATATTATAAAACGATAATCATGGGACCAGAGAAAGAGTACAGAGTACAGGGAAAGAATACAGTGTTTACCATGGAGAGTGTTGCAATGAATACTGGAAGGCGAATGTGCTATCTCAGCGTCCCATATTGACCCCTGGAGGAATTGCTGCCAGGAGTAAATCCTGAGCACTGAGCAAGGAGTAACTCCTCAGTATTGCCAGGAGTTGCCCTCCAAAAATATGATTAATTAAATTTTAAAAATAAAAACATCATCCTTCCCAAAGCAATTTATTAATTCAGTGTATTCCGCATCAAATTTTCCATGGCATTCTTGGATCCATAAAACTCCCACCAAATAACCAAAGCACTTTTAAGGAAGAATATATTATTAGCGAGACTGGAGAGGTAGTACAGTGAGTAAGACATTTGTCTTGCTGCATGCCAACACAGGTTCAATCCCCTACACCACATATTGTCACCCAAGCACTTCCAGAGTGATTCCTAAACACAGAGCCAGGTTTAAGTCCTGAGCACAGCCAAGTGTGGTACCCTGCCAAAAAATAAAATAAAACTGAGTGCTGAGTACTCAAAAAAGGTAAAGTGATATATATGATAACCTTTCAGTGCTTGTATTTCAAACCACAATGCCGACTGTGCCGAGAGAGAGAGAGAGAGAGAGAGAGAGAGAGAGAGAGAGAGAGAGAGAGAGAAATATCTCCCATATAGGAATGCTGGGGAAGGGGGAGGTGGGCAGGAGGGAAACTGAGAACATCAGTAGCAGGAAATGTACACTGTTGAACTGTTGGAACATTGTATGACTGGAACCCAATCATGAACCACTTTGTAATTGTGTATCCCATGGCAATTCAATAAAAATAATAATAATAAAATAAAATAATAAACTGTACCTTAAATATATAGGCTGGAGCGATAGCACAGTGGGTAGGGTGTTTGCCTTGCACGCAGCCAACATGGCCAACCTGAGTTCTATTCGTCCACCCCTCTCAGAGAGCCCAGCAAGCTACAGAGAGTATCTCGCCCGTACGGCAAAGCCTGGCAAGCTACCCGTGATGTATTCAATATGCCAAACACAGTAACGTCAAAGTCTCACAATGGAAACATTACTGGGCCCGCTCAGTAAAGGCCATTGGGTCCATATGCAGAACACACTGAGAGAAAACAAAGGCAGAACTCTTCATGATATGTTTACCTAAGAAGAGTCTTTGGTGAGATGATCCCTTTTGGAAAGTAAACAAACACAAGACATACAAACGGGAAATAGACAATGCCCAGTGAAAACAAACCCCGAATTTGGAATTTGTCAGCAGAACTGAAAACAGAGACTTTCAACTGGCAAAAAGCAGGAGAGGACCTTGAATAGTGGTGGAGGTATATTGGCACTTGACTGATATGTGTAGTGCAGTAACATAATGAACATAAAATAGTCATATTTACACTTGTAAAACACAATATCTCAATAAAAGTTTTTAAATAAATAAATGGGAAAGCTCAACTGAAACTATTGCAAAGGGACTGCTTCAATTTTACTATTATAGTAATTCAGGTAAAAAGACATTGAAATTTCAATTAAAGCACCTAAAAGATGCATACATATGCATCCAAGCACACAAGCATACATTTTCTGCCCAGATCATGTAACTGTGAGTTGAATGTGTTGCAGATTGTATAATCTCTTTTAGGGGCAGCCGGGGGACCCCCCGACAGCTCTTCCCCTCACCTCTCACGGCCCGGGCCACTCGGGGGGGGGGGGGGGGGGGACCAGGCCCTGGGCCAGATGGCTGAGGAAGTGAGGGCTGCAAAGTAAGTTGTCTAAATATTTAAGAGTAAGTTCATAGTGACACCAAAATTAATGGAGCAGATATCATTGTTAGTTATAGTTTTGTTTTAAGGAAAGCATTGAAGGAGGCAGTGGGGAGAATCATACACTTGAAAAAAAACCTTGAAGATGATTTGGTTCTTGACGAAGACATGCAGCCATTGGCCTTCAGCAGGTCGTATCTACTGGGCTGCCTCATATTCCTAGCTCAGGTGACACTCTTCCTGACATGGCCTCCTAACGGCAGAAGTAACTCTTAGACCAGGATTCCTCTCTGCTTTTGCACCAGACCTCCTTTTAGCTTTGTTTTATTATTTGGGGCGGTACCCAGTGGTGCTTGGGGACAGTACTACCAGAACTCAAAGCAAGAGCTCCGAACTGAGGATCCTGCGTGCAAAGCATGTAGTCCTCTAGGACTCAGACCATTCTCCCTAGCTCAGAGCCCCGCTTCCATGCTGAGGAGACTTTGTGAGGTCTGTGCAGCCTTTGAGCCTTCCTTTCCAAACTGTGCCCTCCCACTTTCCTCTCAGAGGATCAGATCTGTTTCTTTGTCAGTCCTCCATGACTAAATCATACTTTCTCATCTTTCATAGACATTATGTTCCTTGTTGCCCAATAACCTTCATGAATTCACAACTCTATCTCCACAGGTATTTCCTGATGAATATAATGGACAAAAAGAAAATATAATTCATGTATCTGACAAAGAATTTATATCCTGAAGTTAGAAATCAACTTTAAATACAATAATGTGAACTCATTTTTTCAAATAGGCAAATATTTTAAATGGCTACGAAAAATAACAAATATCCAATAGCATAGTCATCTAGAAAATTTAAAACACAGTAAGATACTTCCATATACTTGTTAGAATAACTAATATTTTAAAAGATTTACAGTATCAAGAGAAGTGGAGCATGTAAAAAACAGACATGTGCGTATATTGGTATATATGGGCATGTCAAATGGTATCTTCATTTAAGGAAAAGTTTGGTGGTTTCTCAAAAAGTAAAGTTATATCGATATCATGACTCAGCAATCACACATTCAGATATTTACTCAAGAGAAATTAAAACATGTGTATAAAAACAAAATGTACATGAACATTTAAAACAGCTGTACTCACAACCAAAAAGTGGAATAACAATTGAAATATCCAAAAACAAGTGGATGGACAAATTGTAATATATCCATAGATTGTAAAGTGCACTAAGCAATAAATAAAATTAATAAATAAGCCGCCACATAAATTACCCTCTGAATCTCCGGAACTCTTTGCTGAGTCAGCCTCAAAGGGCTAGTCAGGCTTTGCATGCCAGAGACACCTCAAAGGACTCCCCCAGGGACCAACCCTGGCAGCACATCATTCCATAACAAGCAATACCCAGTGTGACCCCAAAACCAAACAACAAAAAGTGCTGTGCTAACTCGCAAAATGGCAGATACATGAAATGATGTGCATGGTTCTATTTCTATAAAGTACTTTGGAGGATGAAGTGGTTAGGCTCTTGGGGCTTCCTCCTGGCTCTGTGCTCAAAGAAAAATCACTCCTGGAGGAACCATAGACGGTGCCAAGGATCCTACCGCTTGCAAGACAAGTGGAAGTTGACTGTTTGCAAGGCAAGTGCCTTATCTTCTGGCCCTATTTTGACAAAGTTCTAAAACTGGCAAACTCATTAATCATGATATAAATTGGATTAGAGTTAGCCTTGTGGGTGAGAGATTACAAAAAAATACATTATTTTGAAGAATAATAGAAATTTCTAAATGTAAGTGTGCTGTGGTTACACAGGTACCAGAGAGATGAGAAGATAGACATTCTGTAGATATTTGTCCAACCATTTACTCAATCGCATGCATAAAAATTATACCTCAATAAAAATCGTAAATGTATTCCTGATATTTATCAATACTATACTATAAAATACTAAATGAGGCTAGAGCGATAGTACAGTACCTAAGGCGCTTGCCTTGCATGCAGCCAGCCCAGGTTCATCCCCAGTACCCCAGCACCCTTCGACCCACCAGGAGTGATCCCTGAGAGCAGAGCCAGGAGTAAACCCTTAGCACCGCTGGATGTGGCCTAAACCGCACCCCTCCTACCTAAAAAAACTGAACTAAATATCTAAGTCCTACATCTAATAGTGTTTGTTGGTGCTATGCGTGGAATTTTGTCTGTTGTTTCTAGATGAATGTCAGAAGACAGGTATCGAAAGAAAGCGTGTCCAATGACTCATTCTGCACGAGCAGAGCAGGCAGACAGAAGGCAGAGGCAGGAAGGGTGCTGGGCTCCCTCTTTCCCCCTCCCTGCCTCGAACTTGACGGACAGATAGAGCAGTCAAGTCCAGCCCTTGGGAGACCACAGCCCGCGCTGGGCGGAGGACAAAGAAGAAAGCCAGAGGTGGGAGCCCAGGCGAGCGCCGGCCTTGCAGCGGACTCTGCACAGATGCCCAAACAGCGCAGCACTAGGAGAGCCGACACCGCGAGAGGCTGTCGCTGGAACGTCGCCGGAACGCTAGGAGCCAGTTCGTAAATCCCAATGGCTAGACAAAAAAGTTAAAATTAAGAAAAGAAGTAAGGGGGTCAGTGTCCGCGCCGCGCCCAGGCGCAAAGCAAGGAGAGCACCAGCGCAAGATAGCTTCAGACCCGCGAGCACCCGCACCCCGCCCCAAGCCCCCCAACCCCAGCCCCTTCCCGGCCCCGCCCATTCCCATTTATCCAAAATCGGCCCCGCCCATCCTTAGGCCACGCCCATCCCCTTACCGGCCCCGCCTCTCATGCCCGGCCCCACCCCTCCCATCCCCTAGGCCACGCCCCTCCCATCCCCTAGGACCCGCCTCATCCTCTCCACGCCCCTCCCATCCCCTAGGACCCGCCTCATCCTCTTCAGGCCCCGCCCATCCTGTAGGCCCCGCCCATCCCTTACCGGCCCCGCTCATCCCCTCCCGGCCCCGCCCCGTCCATCCAAACCCGGCCCGCCCATCCTCTAGGCCCAGCCCATTCCTTACCGACCCCGCCTCTAATACCCGGCCCCGCCCCTCCCATCCTCTAGGCCCCGCCCCGTCCTCTCTCGGCCCCGCCTCTACTCGCTGCCCCCCCAGACCGGAAGCAGTTGCGGGCGCTTCCGGCGTCGGGGCCGAGTGGGTTTCGGAGATGTCGTGGGTGCAGGCGGTGCCTGCGGCCCTCGGGGCTGGGGTGGACGGGGATGTGTTCGACGAGGACGCGGACGAATCGCTCTTGGTGCAGCGAGAGTGGCAGAGCCACATGCAGAGACGAATCAAAGTAAAGCCGGGCGGGGCAGGTGCGAGGCCCGGGCGGGAAGGGGAAGAGCGCTCGGGGCGGGCGGCGTGGGGGCTGTGGGGACCCCGCCGACCCTCTCGGCTCTCTCCGGCCCTCTCCGGCCCTGCCCGACCTTGTCCGACCCTCCCGGCCCTGCCCGGCCCCGACCCGACACCGCCAGTCTGGCGGCGTGAGACGGGGAGCGGGCGCTGAGGCGGGACACTGGGAGAGCGTCTCCCGGGCTCGCCCTTGCCCGCACGCTTGGCCTCGACGGGGGGCGGCCGTGGCTCTCCGCGCGGCTGCTTTCCGAAAAACCTTTCCTTGCTCACCGCCGACACGGGATCTGTCACAGGGCGAGCCTTGCTGAGAGCGGGCAGCCTGGGCCTTGTGGGTTTGGGAAAGACTCGTGTTCCGCTGAGCTCGTGAGAGCTACCGCTCTTCGTCTCTTTATTTTCAGGAAGGTTATAGAGATGGGGTAGATGCTGGCAAAGCGCTGACTCTTCAGCAGGGCTTCAATCAAGGCTATAAGGAAGGCGCAGAAGCCGTTCTCAACTATGGACAGCTCAGAGGAACGTTGAGGTAGTGCTTTGAAACTTGAATGCTGAATCATTTCACCCTCCACAGCACCCGAGAGTTTCTGTTTATGAATAAACTGTTTAAACTGAAGTTGTCTTCACGTGTTCAGAGTGCTTCAGAACACACAACAGCATTACCTTCAGAAAGTGGAAACCATTAGCTCCTACCGAGTCAGCTGCCGTCCTTATTACAGAGAGATAATGGGGAGATGCATATTTTATCTTTAGAAAAAGCGGTTAGTCTTGCATATGTGGTGGAGCGTAGTATGACAAACTTCTAAACTAGTATGATAAAAGTTCTAGCTGGGAATCGGAAATGGTTCCATTCACTCTGATTCTGGGAACTGCACCTATCAAGTGTGGCAGTCCCTGGCAGTTGTGGAAGACATCGGAGTCCAGTGGTTAAAGCATGACAGATTCAGGGAGGCATACACCTACAGTGCCCCCCTTTTTTTCCAAATTTCTATTTTATTAAAGCCCCATGAATTGCAAAATTATTATTAGTTGTTTTTTTAACGTACAATGTTCCATCACCAATCCAGTGTCAACTTCCCTCCACCAGAGTTCCAGGTTCCCGGCCCTCCCCGTCAGCCCCACCCTGCTGTCTTGACAGGCACCTTTTAAGTGTGGTTATTAGAGTTTGGGTTTCATGATTTCAATGGCTCTATCGTTTCTTAGCAACACCAATGTACCTGAATCTCCTTGACCCCTGGCGCCCCCCCCCTTCTCTCCCCTTTCCTTTCACTCTATTTCTTTCCTTCTCTCTGTATTCTGGGTCCAAGGGTGATCTAGGCATCCCCCCCTTGAAGCCATTGCATTTCTTCATCCAGTTAAATACCACATATAAATTATATAGAGAAAAGCATAAAATGCTTCAGACTTTTAGTTTTAAAACAGTGGAGGATAAAGTTATCAAAACAAAATTAATTCACTATGTTGCAGATAGAGAAAATTCGAATATTGAGGATCAGAATCAGTTAATCTGTTAGAGTAGGAAAATGGTCAAGTCAGTGCCTATTACTACATCATATTTAATTAACCTTTTACAAACTTAAAAAGTATAAACTACTAAAATACGCCTTTTCTGTGATAGTGCAGGCACAAGCAGTTCTGGGGGCTACCAGTCTGTCCCCAGTGTTGCTGGAATGGAGAGGTGGGGGCAAATGAGGCCAGCAACAGAACTCAGGCCTTGCATATGCTGGGCATGTGCTCTGCCTCGTGAACTTTCTCCCAGCAGGAGTGAGTCCATCTTTACAAACAAGAATACTCTTGCACATCAGTCATTATTTTATGACAATATTATATGAACAATCTGAAATGTCAGAAGTCTTCATTAGAATTAAAAGAGTGCTTACCATTTTAATTATTGATAGAAGCCTGCTTTTTTTTTTATTAAAATCCTACAATTCTTGCTTGGGTACCCTTACCATCTTTTCTGTAAATCTACAAAGAGCAAGTTTATTGGTAGAATTGAGGAAGTAACAGGAAATATATCTGTAATGCAACTCCAAGATCTAATGTATTGAGATTTCCTTAGATCAGAACCCATTGCTATAATACTTTATTTGAATATCGCATCAAAAGTTTTTGAGAACACTCCTCAGTTTTGTCTTGTTTTGTTACTTGAACTTGGTTTCAAAAGATATTTCTTTTATAAATTTTTTGATCTGAACTTCACAAGAGAGTTGTCAGTGGATTTAAGACTACAGATCCTTACTTTAGGGATTCTAATATACCAGGTTACCCAACTGTAAGCCAACTCTTGCAGATTCTCAGAAGTTTGATTTAGTCAAAGTGAATGTGATTATTGACTGACTATACTTGATTATTGACTGACTATACTGTGTTTATTATATGGAGAAAATAATTCATACTTATAGATTATGTGCCATAATAATTTTACCAATATTATTTCTAATTTTACTCATTACTTTAAGGAAACTGCTATTTCAAAGTGTTTCTATTGCAAGTGTTTTCCACTTCAATTGTATTCAAGAACGAAAATAAAATTAAGTATTCAGTTTTTCTTAAAATTACTTTAATAAGTAAAAGCTTCCCCCCAAAATCAGAATCCATAATTGTACTGATTAAGAGAACCATTATCAGAACAAATAAATAAAAAATGTAAAATCTTTAAAAATAAATAAAAGAGTGCTTACCTTTTTCAGGAAAAAGTAGTGTAATCAAATTTTCCTTAGCACTTCCTTTATTGCCTTCATTTTGCTTATAAGCAACTATACAGTTAAAGGCCCTTGCACACAGCTGACCGAGTTTAATCTCCAGCACCACATAAGGTCCGCCCAAGCATCACCAGAAACAATTCCTGAGCATAAAGGCAACAGTAAGCACCAAGTACCACCAAGTATGGCCCAAAAAAGGGAAAAAAAGGAGGGGTGTTAACTCTAAAGTCAACACCCTTCCCATTTTAAGATGATATTTGGCCCAACAACAAAATAACCTCAGAAATTTTGATTCAGTTGTTCTGGGGTGTGGCTTAGACTTTGATCTTGGCGGGGAAGGAGGGGTTCAAGGGACACCCAGCCGTTCTCAGGAGCTGTTCCCTCTTGGTGGTGCTCTCCAGACCAGGAGGTGCCAGGAATCAAACCCATTCTCCAAAGGATACACACAACCCATTAAGCTAGCTCACTCGATCTCATCTCTCTCCCCGCCCTCCCCCACGTAATGTTTATACATGATTAAGAACCATTTGTTTAAGAAGATTGTCAGTGGTCAGAGAGATAATGTACTTGCCTTGCACATGGCCAACCTGGGTCTGATCCCCGGCATTCCATATGGTCTGCAAAGCTCTGCCAGGAATAATTCCAAGTGCAGAGCTAGGAGTAAGCCCTGACGTGTCCTCAGAACCAAAAAAAAAAAATTAAAATGGAAGATAGGCAATATCCTTAAAAGAGAAATTAATTTTCTCTTGCTCTTAGTTATATCCCTCTCTACCTATGTAGTCATGGGGAGGGTTTTAAAGTCAAGAGAAGTAGATGCTCTGAGAAGGGCGAAGGGTAGGTCAGGGATTATAATCAGATCTTATGATTAGGCTCAATTGTATAATCTACTGAAAAGTAGTATATTTGTGCCCATGTGTGTGGAGAGAGGTTGATGGGATGGGCAAAGCTTGCAACACCCAGCAGTGCTCTGGGCTGTTTCTGCTCCCTGTTCTCAGCAGTGCTAAGGGGACCTTGTGCTGGGTCTCAAAACCAGGCCTCTTGTATGCAGAGCCTGTGTAACTATGGAGCTATTTATATCTTCAGCCTCTTTCTGTGTAAAAACTATAATTCTATTTTGCCATTATTACTTTTCTGACTTTTGGCAACCGTAGGTAAACTTTTTCTAACTTGACTCTTATTTATGCTTCCTTTAAGTGCTTTGCTCGCCTGGTGTCACCTTCATGACAGTACTGCACCTTTAATGGGTAAAATTCGGGATCTCCTGGATGCAGTTGGCCAGTGTGAAGAGTGTGTGCTCAGACGGCTGGACGCAATCACTCCACAGCCCTGCGTTGTGGATTTATTGGACTCCATTCAGGATATGGACCTTTGTCACGGGCTTTCAGCCAAGGGAGACACTGATGAAGCTAAAGAAAGAAGACTCTGTGAAAGTAATGTTGGCTTTAACAAAGACTGTAGCAAGAATGCAGAGTGTTCATCTTTAGGGTGTTTTCAAACACAGGAACATATACTTTCTGAAAAAACAGGCCTCACTTGGATTTTAGAACAGACAGACAGTTTAGTAAAACAGCTAGGAGTACCAGTAGATGTATTACAACATCTCAAACAACTGTGAAAATTGTCTTCACTTTGCTAATGAAAATAATATTAAGAATTTTTCATGGAACATTTTATTTTTTATAAAACTAACAGTCTGGGACGAAGCAATAGTACAGAGGGCAGGGCACTTGCTTGCACGCAGCTGACCCAGGTTCAGTCCCCAGAAACCCAAATGATATGCTCCCCCGAGCCCTGCCAGAAGTGATCCCTAAGCGCGGAGCCAGGAGTAAGCTCTACACAGCCAGGTGTGGCCCCAGACCAAACAAAATCATAATTATAATAGCTGAGTTTAATTATGTAGGGTTATTCTTCATGAAAGTTTGAAATGTCTTTAAAATCCACATTATTAAGATGATATTTGGCCCAACAACAAAATAACCTCAAAAAAAAAAAACCCTGCATGTTCAAACTTACCATCCTATATACCAACCTAAACAGCACTGGAGCACTATCACACATGGAAGGCATACACAGCTGGACCCCATGAATGTCATTTTTAAATACACAATATTGTTCGGAGAGCCCGGCAAGCTACCGAGAGTATTCGATATGCCAGACACAGTAACAACAAAGTCTCCAATGGAGACGTTACTGGGCCCGCTCGAGCAAATCGACGATCAACGGGAGGGCCTTTACCTTTACCTTTATTGTTTGTGTTGCAGTTTCAACTATTAAAAGAAACAGAAGAAAGCAATATTATTTTCTAACAGAATACCTGTACATAGGATAGTATCTAAACGAAAGGAATTGGAGTAGAAAAGTAAAGACTGAAATATACATTACTATGGGTGCCAGTATTTGTGTTAACTTGTCATTTATTTTATAGTTCATATATTTTGATGTCATTTGCCACAGACAATACCACTTCGTTCTCATTTCAGGGCTTTCCTTTGTCTAGCCACTTTAGTCCCAACTAAGAGGGAAAACCTTACATTTCTAGCACTCCTCATTTGTTCCCCTCTGGAAACGGGATCCCTGGGCTGAACCCACCCAACCAGACTGGGTCACTGTAGGACAGACACCCCTCTGGGAGACAGCTGAATCAGAGGCACAACTGATTTGAGAAAAACAAAAAAATGGCTTTCAAATTCTAGCTTAGTTCCAATGCAGGCGTTATTCAAAGAATTCTACGTAAGTATTCAAGACTCATAACAGCCCTGTGCAACAATACTAGCATTGTTCCTGTAGTAGAGACAGGCCCAGGTACCAAGATGACTGGCTAATGTGACCGATTTTGAGTGAGTAAGTGGCCTAATGCCTCTCCAGTCCTAATTAGTCCTCACAGAAACTCACTGAGCACAGTACCAGCGACGTGTTGGAACAGCGAGATCATTAGCTATATTTCACTCTCTGCTATTAAGTTTTCTGCTTTTTAAAATCTTCCTTAATCTACGATCATATTTGTGATGATAAAATGTATCTAAATCTTCATCAGTTACCACAATCAGGCTACCTTTGTTAAAAACGAAGGAAAAACAGCATTCCTGACAGAGAAAAGATCCGTGAGGAGATGGTCATAGAAAGGCGTTGTTTAACATCTACAGAAAATAAAGACTCAAACTTTTTACAAGCCTCATGGAGAAAATTATTTGTGACACCCATTTTATGATAATGTTTATCAGCTTTCATATATTCCTGCTAAACTTTGAATATCAAGGCGTTAGTGCAAACTGCCCAATATATGTTTTGAGGGCTTCACTGTATCGCAAGATCCACTGTATTGCCGTGCAAATAATCCTATATTTCAAGAATGGTGGATAACCAAACACATTTACAACTATCTACTACAGATCACTTCTGTGGCAGGTGAATTTGTGCTTTCCATACTTTTTTACGCACAATGAGCCATACCTGATCTTGCTTATTTCTAAGGAGCGGTTGGGTATGCCGATGGCCACTAGGTGGTGCTGGTGCATGCCTTAAGTACCGTGCTAGTGTTCATGGCCGTGGACAGGCCAAAGGTTAAACTAAAGTCCACAACGTCAGTGTCTTTTGGTTTTTGGGTCACACCCACCGATGCTCAGGGTTTACTCCTGGCTCTGCGCTCAGGGACCAGTCCTGGCAAAGTTTGGGGATCATATACGGTACCTGGGATTGATAAGAGATATTTTAAAAGTAAAATCGGTTTTTTTGTTTTTTGTGGGTTTTTTTGTTGTTTTTTTTTTAATTTAATATCACTTTGTTTTGTTTCCAGTGTGTGGAATGACATTGTGTCATTCCACAATGGCGCTCTTTGGAGCTGTTCACCCTGGCCGCAGGGTCCCTGCCCTCTACAGCCTTGTGAGCCCAGAGGGCTGAGTTAGCTCAGACACCAAACCCGCATTCATGAAGCCACTCAGTTTCTGCTTCTTACTGTGTGTGAACTTCCAGCCGTTTGACTCTTTGACTGGCGCAAGGGATAAACCTAGAGACAACTTACGGAAATCAGGCAGAGGAAGTGACTTGACTGTCCACAGATGCAGGGCTGACAGGGGAGGCTGATATGTAGGCTGAAGTTTAGCTTTTGGTACGATGGATGCCAAATCAGAGAAACCACACTTTAAGGAATTTAGCATAAGGGAATAATATAAAGGAAGATTTAAAAAAGAAAATACCTTTCCAAACAACTGCGAGTATTCTTGCTGTTCTCATTCTGTGATAATCAGGACAGGCTAACCATCTGCTATAATAAGACGGTGTATGTGTCCCCAGTCCTAGTTCTTTACCCACCTAGATCTGGTCTTAGAAAAGCAGGTGATAAAATAATAAATAATAAAACTTCCAAAACTAAGAGGTTTCTTGTCACCTCCTGCTGTGAGTAGAGCATAACTAGAAATGTAAAAGAATAAGCCAATGACTGGAGAGATAGTGCAGGATAAAGATGTTTGCCTTGCAATCCCTACCAACCAGGAGTGGTAATTTCCTGGTAGTAATCTTGTTTCTCTGAGGGCCACGTGCCATGTTGCATGTACATCTATGATGTGTTGTACAGTGGTTCAACCTGGCGGCTCTGCCACCAGGTGATCTACTTTGAAGCCAGCTTCACCACTTGCAAGTGTCTTTGTCTTCCTGTATCTGTTTATTCATCTATTAAAAGCGCCGACTCCAAGGCCACAAATGTAGCCACAAATGTAGCCAGAAATGGTGCACAAGTGATAGAGCCCTTGTCTCCCATGTATAGGCCCTGGATTTAGTTCTTAGCACCAAAAGAAAAAACAAAATACAACTCAATTCCACTTCACAGGATTGTTGTAAACAAGAGAATGTGCATCTGTAGTGCTCACTGAATATCAGCTGGTATTGGATTTTTCTCTTGAGCATCATGTCTGCAATTTGGGTAAACCACAGCCAGATGATTCACAGTGTCTAAACAACTTGATCTATCACAAAAATCTCCCATGATTCAGACATAGCTAGGCCTCTCAGTAGAGGGGCTAAATTACTTAATATGTTTGCTTTTTCTTTTGATATTTTAAAACAAAAAGGGAAGACAAATAGGAGGAAAGTAGTTTAAATGTTTTCACATTTGGCTTTTGGACCACACCTGGCAGTACTCAGGGCTTATACCTGCACAGCGGGTAGGGCGTTTGCCTTGCACGCGGCCGACCTGGCCAACCCAGGTTCGATTCCTCTGCCCCTCTCGGAAAGCCCTGCAAGCTACTGAGAGTATCTTGCCCACACGGCAAAGCCTGGCAAGCTACCCGTGACGTATTGTATATGCCAAACACAGTAACAAGTGTCACAATGAAGATGTTACTGGGCCCGTTTGAGCAAATTGATGAACAACGGGTGGACAGTGACAGTGACAGTGTAAAATTATAAAATGGTCATGATCAATGGGAGAACCTTTGGAAAGTAGGAGGCTATTATTGGTTGCCAGGATGATGGTGGAGGCCATTGTAATGGGAAGGTTGATAAACAAGCCCAAGAATGGGTTGAACTTTCACAGTGAAGAAGTGTCCCAATCTGTCACAGCTTTCAAATGTCCAGGAGATATTCATGTGAAGAAAAATCTGTTTATAATTATTTATGTCTAGATTCTAACTACATTTTCAATATAAACACATTATTTTTGTTTTGTATTAATTATTTTGTATTAATTTTTTTGTATTAATGTTATAACATTATGCACTTCCCAATTATAAAATGATTTTGGTTTGGCTTTTTGGGACACACCCAACAGTACTCAGAGATTCCTCCTGGCTCTACACTCAGGATTGTTCCCGGAAGGCTTGGAGCGAGAGGGTGGCCGGAGGGTGGGCATATATAGTGCCAAGCAGGAATTGAACTCAAGTCAGATGCTTGCAAGCCAAATGCCTTATCCTCTGTACTATCTCTCTGGCCCTGAAATTATTTTTACTCCCTGTAAAATATTTAAACAATGCAGAATATTATAGGATATATTTAGGAAAGGTAAATCTTTCCATATTGCCATCTACAAGTGACAAAATTATTTTTTCCCAGGGGGTATGGTGCTGCCAGCAGGTCAATCTGTACCTGTGAGGTGAGTGCATCAGCAGCCTGATGGCGTCTTCAGACTTCCAGATACCCCAAAATTGCTGCTGTGCCTTTGGCCAGACCCCAAAAACTTGGGGCAAAGTTTACCAAGAAAGTAAATGGCCAAAAGTTAGGTATGTGGGAAACACACCCACAAACCACCTCCGGCTCAGCTATATAATTGGAGGCATGGCCTCTCTGGTTCCTGATTGAACTGCTTAATGGCCATGATCCCAGAGACTCAGAAACAAATCTCGAAACCCAGTGGCTTTTGGCAGAAATGCGTCTGGACCCCGCAGTAGGTTACTGTCACCGGGCCACCCCAGAGGGGAAAGGGTGTTATCACTCCGCCTGCTCCCCCTTGTCAGCTTGATGGCCATCATCATGCTCCAGAGGCCATTGGACAATCAGGTTTGGGCCCACAGTGATGAGACATTTTGGGCCTCACGGGATGAAGGTGGAGCCGGTCCTCTCCTCCCCACCCCAACGAGACCCCAAGTCATTGCCCACGAACGGCCTTTCTGGCTCCTGATCAAGCTGCTTAACAGCCATGATTCCAGAGACTCAGGAGCAAATCTCGGAACCCAGAAG